CCTCCATAAATGTTACGTAGACTTTGTGACTTTCATCGGGCATTTTTTTTTCAAAGACACTCTCGAGTAAGTGTTCTTCTGGATGAGCATAGTATTTAACGTCAAAAAGCAAACAAGAAAGTTCAAAATGTCTAATTCCATGGAACACGCTCGCAATTAAATATTAGATAGTACGATGCCTGATGCGATCGAAGCTGAGTTTGCGTATTCATGACGAAATTTAGTCCCTCGCTTTCTCCAAAAACGTTTTTGATGTAAGCCGATTATTCAAAGGGAGTGGGTTTTTGGGGAATTTGCATCCGTGCTGGCTCCAATTAATTGCAATTTACAAGTTGGGCAGAAAACGAATTTTGCCTTTATGGCAAAAATGACCCTTTTGATCTCTAAACCTTGAACGAAAATAGAATAAAGCGGGCATATGCCTAAAAGTAAGACGTGTACTTTGGTGTCTCAATGCAGATATCTGGAAGTAGATCTGCCTTGCTCTGAGGGATTATACGTGGTCCAATGCACCACCACCCTGGTTTTTCGAACCCTCAAATATACGGAAGTTTAAGAAAGACATTTATCGTTTATATCGAACTGGTTTGCCTTTTAGCGTCAGCAGGTTGTCAGTACCAGCATAAAAGGACGTACTCCATAAGGGCAGCTTTTGAATGGTTCGATTGTCTTAGTTTAAAACCGGGTCTTGCAGTTGGAAAGTAAGTGATTTTGGAATTTTTGCAGTCACAAGTATAAACGAAGTTTTTTTGCAGTTGCAGTCAAATGAGATGCATCACTTTTTTTCGACGATTGTTTCCTAGCCAATTTTGCATACTGACCACATATCGACTTACTTATTTATTTTGATTTTGCTGATCAGACCCTGATCCAACAACTTCTACCATTCGGTGATAATGTCGAACCTTGTGTGAACCAAACTGAACCCACTTTGCATAGAAAATAAAATAGACAAGGGGTTTAGAAATGAAGGATTGTTAGTGTTTCCCGGCTGTCCTGCAGGGTTAATTGGCATCAGTTACCTAATTGGGTTAAGAGCTAGCCTATAAACCGAAGAATCGGGATTCCTGCGGATACGTCAATCCTCTACAAGTCCTGTCGGCATGTAGATTATCTGATTCCTGCTTCAGCACAAGTGAATTCAGGTGTAGCAGTCGGTAGGTTTTGAAATTATTCGGCAATTTGGAAACTTTTTTTAAAACCGAAAGATACCCTTTCTTTAAGTATAAAATTTCAAGAAAGCGTAATTGCCAACCAAATGAGTATAAGAAATATTTTTTGTGCAGGTTTTCCTTAAAATATATTTGAATTTATAAGGGCTGTCAAAATCAATGATAAAAGCGCATACTATGTAAGAAGTTACTTTTTACACTACATACGTTTTGTTAGTGGTCAGAACGAAGCTCGTTAAAAAGTCCGCATCCCATCATGACTGAAGTAACTTCAGAATAGACTACACGATAATCAGTATCACAACCTGAGTCAATGCTGTTTAGCCAGTGAGTATCAATCTTTCGCAAATGCCCTCATGTTGCATGAATTCGTAGTCCTGCTGTATTCTCGCTTCTTATTCTCTATCGTTATGGACTGTGCGACTGGAAATATGCCTCTTTCTAACTGAAATTTGCTGCCGTGGTCTCCAGGTAAAATTCAGCTTCTCGACCCCTGTCGAGATGGCTTGCTAATTAAAATAATTCTAAAACCTGACTTCGGATTCGAAA